CACAGTACTAAGCTCTTTATTAATGTTTATTGATGTATTTATTTTTAATTCCATCGACGGGATCCAAGAGACTGAAAAGCACCTAACCCAGTGGGCCAGCTGTTTCGTCGATGGTGAAAAGAAAGAAAGTCAACCGGGCAAAGAGAAACTTTGGTCGATCTGTGCGTATATCTCATACACATACAGATTCACAATCTTCTTCCAGTAACAAACTATGCAATATCCAGAACAGAAATTTATACTCACAGAGTTATGATATACCCGTATCTGAGCATTACAGCGTATCACTGCTCAACTGGTGGAAAATTTTCACTTTCTAAGCATATTAAGAGATATTTCTTTTTTAATCATCTATATAAAAGATTGCTACAATAAATATTTTCTGAAATTCAAAATTATCATTTTGATAACAAGTTTAGTGAAAGCTTTGATTCGAAAAATAAAACAACTTTATGTGATAAATTTAAAATTATTATATTATTTTATAAGTATACTAATGGTTATGTATTAGATAATATGCCGAAGCATTTTAATGCATGCCAAAGCATTTTAATGCATAGTTTCAGCCTATCTTCGTCTAATTATTCAATTTATAAATTTATGAGCAATTTACGCCTTTCATCTATTAAGACAGAAATCAGTGCTTAATTTCTGAAAATTGTTCTATCATATGTTGAAAATGACGAAATCAACATATCATTATTTAGCTAGTCTTCATTTTTAAACTTTTGCACTTATTCATTAGCATATAGTTGTACTGTTTTTGCACAATGTGAACAGTTTGATGCTTAATATAATTACAACTTTATTCAAGCAGCATTAAAAGATTTGAGATTTAGCTTCTAATCGCTTGCTCATAAAATTTAAAACTTTTATTTCTTGTTCTGAAATTTGAATAAATTTTCTAAATTAATGAAAATCGAAACTGTATGAATTTAAATAAGTTAATATGAACTGAACTGCACTGTTTATCAACAATTTTAAGAAGTGAAAGCAAGTTTTTTCCTGTTACACGTTTTATAAAAGAGGATTCCTGATTACTTTCACGATAGTCCTAGTATTTTGTATAGAACTATTTTAAATTTAAAATTTATTCTCCCAATCTTGTGTTATGCTATATTTGTTTCTTATTATTATTCTTAGGTGGAAAAATGAAGAGACAAACCTCGGATCACGGAAACATGAAATAATTATCTGAACAAAAAAGTCTCGGATGACGAAAGGTGTTTCTAGTTACGAATACACAGAATGGCAATAAATGGCAATAAATTCAAGTGCTCGTTTAGAGGCAGCCTTTAGCACTGAATTAACAACCACGCATGTCTGTAAATACCATGTTAATATTTTCTATTGCTTAACTATGATTTTCCAGCCCGCAGCAAACGACATACATGTCTATAAATTCAACCTGGAGGAAAATATGTCTAGAGTGTATAGCAGGCCGATATTTTGAGGGCTTTGATATTAAGGATATTTTTATTACCTAAGATATTTTTCCTCTAGTCGAAAGTATGATCTTGGAAGTTAACAGTGAAAATACGGAAAAACTAGCAAACCATATACTAGAGTCTAACAAGAAAGAATTGGGACGATTTCAGAAGCAACAAAAAATTTCGATACTGGACCGAATTCCTTCAGGAGTTAGGAAGCGAAGCAAGTTCTTTGATTCGCAGAAGTTGCGCAGATTTGGGTAAATAAATTTCAATATAATGATACCATTCTAATAAAGCAGTAGCAGCTACAGCATAAGCATTTTCATTGGCATTGCCACGTCTCTGTTTCGAAGCATTTTAAAGCATAAGAACAGAGCAAGTAATATTGGACAAAAAATTTTAAGTGAAACAGAAGCCCTGAAGCAGAATCGAGTGACGCTAAGACATAAAAGAAAGATAAAAGATGATTCAGAAAGATAGTTACTTAATGTTTTATGGAATGTGGCTCTTCATTCAGACAATTATTTCTCTTCCTTATCTGTGTCTCATTTCTTTCCACTTAAGCCGCCTACTCTCATTCATACAGTCATGGTAAAATTAAATTAAATGTTTGTATATTTTATCCGTTTAGCATAGCTTTCACTTTTTCTCTTTCTTTCATTCTTTCTTTCTCTTTTTTAAGTTTTAATGTTTTTACTGATTTTTTATAAAGAACGTTTACATAAATGCTGTTCTATTGTAAAGAAACTGTTTAAAGTATACTTTAGAGACCCTTAATAATTTGGAATAAACTAAAACAATTAATTACATGTATCTATAAAATACTTAATTTTTTTATTTAAAGTGGAAAAGAAAAAAAAATTAAACTGCCCAATACTTAAGAAATCGTAATATAGGTGAAATGGAAGAAAACTGTGTAAGTAGCACAAAGTTCAAACTTCATTATAATGACGAAACAACTCACCTTGTTTCAATAAATAAATAAAATGAATAAAACAAGTTACTGAAAATAAAAGTGAATTAGTAATGTAAGCGCCATTCGAAATCTTCGATTAGGCTCAGATGGCTTCGAAAATTGTAGAAGAATTGAAATTAAGCTACATTACACTGCTCGACATTGAAAATACAACACCAAGAAGGAGTGGTCAGAAATTTATGCAAATTTTAGAGTAGACGCACGTCACTGAGTTATGCGAATAATGTGAAATGCGCAGTTCTCCGACGCACGTGATGTAAGAAGTAAGATATAAGGGAAGGGACGTGCAGAATAGGGCAATATTCGTGTTGTTATTTCTGCCAGAAGAATTATCAAAGAAAATTAGGTTTTTATCCCGGAGGATACGTGTAATCGAATAGAATGCCAGGTCCACCGTCAACGAAGGCACTTCCAGCAGATATATGACGATTTTACAAGGGGTAGTATGGTGATCGGACTGAGAAAGGAGGGTTGGTCTTTACGTCAAATCGCAGCTGATATCCACATGAAAGCGAGCACTGTGCATCGGTTATGGCGAACATGGTTGGAAAAAGGAAATGTTTGAAGAAGGAAGGGTGCAGATGCAGTCAGAAAGACGTCAGCACGCGTGGATCGACGCATCTGCCGACAAGTTGTGGCGGTCCCGCAAGTCACTTGTACCGCGATTCTGCAGCATGTGCAAGATACCCTGGATGTTCCCGTGTCGACCAGAACCATTTCCCGTCGATTGGTTGAACGCGGCCTGCACTCACGGCGTCCGTTAAGAAGACTGCCATTGACCCCACAGCATAGACGCCAACGTTTAGAATGGTGCCGGACTGGAGCGATGTGGATGACAGAATGGCAACACGTCGTGTTCTCAGATGAGTCACGCTTCTGTTTATGCAGTAACCGTCGCCGCATACGTGTGTGCCGTCGACGTGGAGACAGATCTAATCCGGCAGCAATTGTGGAACGCCCCACCGCGCGATAACGTGGCATAATAGTTTGGGGCTCTATTGCATATGATTCCAGGTCACCTCTTCGTATTCAGGGTACTATGATGGCCCAACGATACTTGGATAATGTACTGCGGCCGGTGGCAGTACCTTCAGGAGCTGCCTAATGCAATTTTTCAGCAGGATAACGCCCGATCACACAGTGCTCGCATCTGCCAACATGCTCTGCAAGGTATACAGATGCTTCCCTGGCCACCGTACTCTCCTGACCTGTCACCAATCGAACATGTGTGGACACCCTTTGAAGACTCTGCCCCTGCCTCGTTCAGAAGACGAACTGTGGCAAATGTTTGAAAGGGAATGGAGAGCCATCCCTCAGGACACCATCCGCCCTCGAGCAGTGTATAACAACGAATTACCTCGTTTAACAGGCATGCTGCGAAAAATTTTAAATCGCTTTGGAAAAACGCACAAAAATTTATGAAAAATTTATTCTTAAGTGTGTAGTGAAATAAAAATAAATACCGAGAGGAGAAACATTTTTAATGCACCTACTTAAAGTAATTGGTTTTGAAACCTGGGCAATACTGTTTCGCAAATAGATCGCAAAGCAGGATATCAACGATTATGTTGCAAAATTTTGTGACCAAGTCCCTTCAACGTATAGGTGACTGTTTTTCGAAGTTCCCGTCAGATAGAGAAACCCAAAATAGGCTCTCAATTCCAGTTTATTTGTAGGGGCAATATATCCAGTTCGTTCTTCATAATTTTCCTTTTTGATAGCGATTTCTTCATTCGTATGCAAAACCACTTCTTCCAGTATTTCATCTGCTAATAGTAGATTCCAGAATTCTATGACCGATTTGCAGGTCCTAGCAGGACCCTTGTTTCGCATGGGACACGAAATAACATTTCTTGCAGGAGCTCTGCCAGTTCTTCCAGGTTTTTTTCGTTGACCAGCGATGTCCATCTCGTCCTTTTAGACTTGCAAATGACGAAGGACCGGTGGCGGGCGAAGACGGTCCAGAAGACAAGGAAGGTTGAAATGATTCATCGCTTGAAACCTCATTGTCGCTGTGTTCCTCAGAATCTTGGAAGACAAAATCTTCGCCACTAACATCGCTTTCCCCACGGATATTTTCTTCACTTTCATCGCTACTGCTTTGTAGTGCGTCAAGTATTTCTTGTTTGTCCAAACACCTCCTTCTATGACTCCATTTTATCCAGTACTGATGAGCAAATCAAGCAAAGGTTTTCATGCACGAACGTATAGATGTGTACGGCGAACCCCGCAGTTAAGATATCACGTGACAGAACACAGATGGAGAAAAAAACGTCCACACACATTGAGAGCAGGCTGAACAATGAAAAGTTCAGGGGAGGGCAGCAGTGTAGCTGAAATACTGTGCATGCGAGCTCACTTGAAATGCGTAATGGGGTACCATACACCCCACTAGGTTCTAGGGTTAAATTTGTTTTCACAAACTTTCGTGCTAATTTTATATTTAGATGACTAAATTTATCTGTTGCATCTTATCAAGCAGTAATTTGCTGAAATAAAGTGAAATTCAGGTAAAATTACGGAAGAAAAACTCTTGCCAATGATATAATGAAAGTTCTCATAGCTAATGTGAAAAACATTTTTTTTCTTACCTCCAAACCAAAGCAACAAAGCTAGCTTCAAGGGTATGAGAGGTTTATATATACATATCTTGAAATTTTTGTATATATTCCATGTGATATTCAAATTTTTCTGGAACAAAAGAAAGAAAAATATACTTTAGTATTTATCCTTCACGAAAATTGACTCCTCTTGTGAAAATTAACAGAGAAATAGTAAATTTTTAAATCTAGAATAAATTGGAGTTATGTACACATTTGCAATATGGCTGTTCCATGGGAAATTACAATTTTTCAGAGTTCAATATTTGCATTTTTAAACATTTTTTAGATTAAGAAGGCGAGTTCTCTTTTTAATACATTTTAAATACAAGGTCTCTCTTTTTTTCACTACATTTATTTTATTACTGAATTTTACTGTATGTATAGCACTCGTATTTGTCCACTAAGTACTCTGAAATTTTGCACAATTTATAAATACTTTTAGTTCTCATACGCTTATGTTATGTTAGGAGGAAATACGCACAATAATTAAATACTTAATTGATAAAATCAATATTTAATCGTATCTCCAAAATACAATTGCATATTAAATTATTAATGTTGAAAATTATTAATGTTGAACATTTTGACAATCAAGTACAAATACAGTAGCAGTTAATTAATCCATGGTTCGATTTACATATTTCTGTTTACAACTCTTTAACTGTATCTGTTTCAGTTTACTACAACTCTTTAACTGTAGAAACCATAATTCTAAATAACCTCATAATCTTAGCTACAATATTATTAATATTTTTATACATTTTCCTAGGTACCACAATAATATAACGTGAAAATAAATATAAAATACAACTTATCCTGATCTCGACTAAATTCTCGGATAAATATTCCCATTTTTAATATAAGATTCTAAGTACCACATTACACATTAAATTCACAAAACAAAACAAAAAAAACAAAAAAAAAAAAAAAAAAAAACCACTCACTTTTTCTATCAGTCATCATTTTATGCAAGGAGGAGATGAAGAGTGCTTACACTGAGAAGACTTCGGGAATTTTGAAGCTAAAACAAACTTACACAGTGCTGAAGGTTAACTTTCCGAGAGTCAGAGGGCAAATGATGCAAATAGACTTTTTATAACCCGTTGAAAAACAGTAAACAACGCCGAGATAATTTCGCTCCATCATTTGGAACTAGAAGGCGGTGTTCTATGAGTCCGAAACAGTCTCTTTATACTGCGGCAACAGAAACACGCGCCGGGAACATCGCATAGATCACCACATTTACTTATCAGAGGATTTATGCGTTTATGCATTTCTCCTACATCATACACTTAATCATTCAGTTGCAGCTGATCATCTTCCACGAGGCCAAGGCTTGTTTCGAAAGTTTTCTTCTCTCTCATATACGCTCGAGAGTCATCATCGCATTACATTGCTTTCTATTCTCCATTGTCACATTCTACTAGTTATCTAGTTATCGCGAATTGAAATGTTCTTTCTACATCTCAAGAAAAACCTTACAACTTTATACTAGTTATCTTCTCTGTAGTTCCATTCTACTATTTAACGTTCTTTTCTTTTCTTTTTCTTTTTCTTCTTCATGTTGTTAAACTCTGTAAGGATATCTGTTGGAATTTGTCCTTCCTGTTTCTTGTTCACATTACACAACTCCTTACCATTACTCCTCACCGAAATAAATAGCCTTAAATAACCTTAAAAATATTCTCATTTTTTTTCTTTGCTCCTCCACTTTCGTTAACTCCTCATCCAAGTCAAAGTAAGTCCAAAATTAATCCAAATAGAACAAAAAAGTCCCTTTTTCTGACCAATAACTCCAGACCTAATTATTAATTAAACAGCATCTTCAGATGCAATCACCCCTCAGTTGGACAGCGTCCCAAGAACGACGAGTAGGGCATTTTCCTGTTCTCGATTCGCTGTGGGAAATTCTCCGAGATATGTTACACTCCTAGAAAACGACTGTTACGATAACAATACGTTTGTCTACTCTTCCATTTGCATCATAGTTCAAGCAACATTTAAGCAATAAAGATACCAATGCTTTAAGTCAAGTTTTCGTTTTACAAAGCCGCCGCATCCATTTACCTACTTTCTGACAATTTCGCATATATGTAACAAGTCTATTTCACAACACATTTTAGCTGCCTGTCCCCATGACTGGCTTTTCACTGAGGGAAGCGAAAGTGATCCTTTATGAACATCCTTGTAAATTCGAAATATATTATTACCTGACGTCATAATAAATAGTTACGGGAATCTAATGTGTCTTAGAATTTATATAAAATTGAAAGATAAACAGAATTTGGGGTATACTATAGAAACACATTCATAAGCTTAAAAATTTAATATAAGCAAATCAATAACAATTATAAGAAAAAAGGAGAACATCAAGAAGCATCTTGGTTGTTAAAAAGACTAAGTTTGACAAAAGTAGGAAATCGTCGAATTTAAGGAGAAACTAGTCCTCGATGAGATACTTTACCTGTCACATGCATTAACGAACTCTTTATGCAAAGACAAAACGCATATGCTCATTTCGGATAGAAAACAAGCGGCGAAATTGCAGAGTTTATTTTTCGGTGTCTGAAGTGAAATCAAGTCATCAAGCAGAATTGGGGTAAAGACATTTGTAGATAATATGTAAGCAGCTGTATTATTTAATTTGCAGTAAGGTGGTTAGGAAGAATGAGTCTGCGAATAAAGCTGAAAATATTAACTCCTACTGTTAATTTAAATTACTTTAGAAGAAAGCATGCTTTGCTTCAAACTTGTATTCTTCAAGTAAATATCCCAATTCTGAGACTTCAGTCTGAGGCTTTGAAAATTCAAATTTCCGTACGGAAGTATCTGAATAGTTACATACAAAGTCATTCCTGTGTATGGAAGAAGTTTATTAGATATGAAAATTCAAGTTCTTCATGCTTGTTCATACCATTTAAGCTCTAATATTGTAGTTCTAATCTTCATACTATATCATGCATTCCCCAGTATTTTACTCTGTTTTATTTCTACTGCTGATGTTCTTCATATTAGTATGCCTGAAAAGAGTAAATTGGATAAAGAGAACAAATAAATATTGAACTTGAGTAATTATTGGAGTCTGCATTAAGTTATTTGACTGTTGGTGGCATAGATAAAGAAGTACACTGTAAAAAAAAAAAAAAAAAAAAAAAAGTGGAACAATTCTATATTTTCCGTTTTTATCAAATTGTTTTATTTTTATCAAATTGTTTAGGCATAAATTAACTACAATTTTAAACGTTTTTACATAAGGACCATTTTGGTTCGTCATATTAAGCATATTTAGCACATAAGCATCCATGTAAAATTTGGTGCCCTTTACATTAGCCGTTTCAAAGAAATGCTGCGCGCAGTGAGTAAAATCATAGTTTTAAGAAAATTGACTTTAAAGATAAAAGTATGTTTTTATCAAACAAATATGCATTATTTAAGAAAAATAAGTGTTCATATTAAATCAGATACATGATATAATTATCTATATATGGATACTTAAGTATAAAAACATCTAAAAACAAAATAAGTTAACACAACTCGTGAATATATGAAACGAAAACTTTAACGCACTGACCAGAAAATTTACAATTTTTACACGAATTCACTTTTTTTTCAGGCTAGTCCTTTGGAGATTAATTTTTTTCATACTGAGTGGTATTTGAATAAAATTACTTAAAATTCTCTAAAATTATACAAGACAGGTTGTAAAAATGGATAATATAAGTTATCTTCTAAAAACAAAAATAAAATTAAAGCGTATATATTTAAAATGCACTAGGTGAATATGTTTTGCCTTTATGTAACAATACGTTCTCAATTCAATACTTTGTTTATTTATCTTTTTCTTACGCATTTCTTTTGTGCTTTGCAAAAGGCATAATTCACTAGTTTTCACTCGTTGCTCGTCTAATTTACATAGACATGCTCGACCACACGAACCAACTGACAGCCCAAGTTCCGCCATAACTTTTAATCTTCCTTGATTACCTTCATTGTAGAGTATTGGGGCCTCATTCGTTGCTATTTCAGCAATTCTTCTTCCTGAACCAAGGGTCTTGAGACACAATTTCCAAATCAAATTTTTTAAAGATTCATTGCAGTTTTGTGTCTTTCCGCTAAGACATCTACGCAACAGTGTCGGTTGCGATAAATTATTAAATGTTGCTTTAATAAGAAACATAACACAAAAAGGAAGTGTTAATTTATGTCTGAATTCACTGACAGTTCCATTAGCTACAGTTTTCTGGTATTTACACCAAGTATTGTGACCTATTGGACAAAACGTATGCAACGGTTCAACATGAGTTGACCATGTGTGAAAATAGACTGCCCATATAGCATTACGCATTTCCGCCAAAGAAGTTTTGTGTTCTCGAATCACATTACCATAGTAAACAGTCAATTTGTGTATCAGTCCTTTTCCTCCAATAGATTTTCCATTTGCACATTTAATACCTTTCAGTTTCAATTTTCTGAGCCGCGTTCCCTGTCTCTTCTGAATATGACCGACACGATCGGTTTTAGAAGCGGACACATCGGAATCATAGGACTGGGCCTCCGTTATAGATTGAAAAATCTTCGAATCTCCATCGCCAGTGTATCCAACATACTTCACATCATGCTTCGTTTCTGGCCGCTGGAAAATTCGAACCATATCGACGACCTCCATTTTACCCGCAGGAATCACTGGGATTCATAAGACTTTCCGCCTCATGTTTCATTTGCCAGTTATCATACTCTGGTGTACCTTTCATGGAATTCCACGTATTACATGCCTTACAAAAAGATGAAAGAACCTCTGTGTCGATAACCTTACCACTTTTGTCTCCAATAACGGTACACACACCTATTCGTGATGTGTGACCCCCCTGGTTTTCCATGAACCATCGCAGCTAACCACAACATTTGAAGAACCCCTTTGCTGAAGTTCTTCGCAAGCAGCATTTTTCATGGATTGTTGCGCCACATTGCCTGAGCACGACATAAACTCCTTTACTGTAGCATTGTATGCTTTTTTCGATACTGGGTGTGGAAGATCAATGATACCACAGAATAGTTTCATTGCTGAGTAGCTCCATTCCAATTGTTCGCATGGCATAAGCAAAAATATATGTTAATGTCAGCATAGTTTTTCTTCTTACCAATCATTTTTGAACTTTTAAATGCACGCAGTTCTATACAATTTCTACAATTTAAAGAAAATTTAGAACTTAGCCACACACAACTTCTTCTTTGATAATGACATCACTGCCCCATATTTTGCAGCACAATTCCTTTTCGAAAAAGGAAATCATTACACTCAAATCCAAGATCCTAAAACTTTTAAAATCATCATTAGTTTCATTTTCCAACTGCTTATTAGAAAGTTTTATTTTCTTTGCAGAAGCACTCACATTCAGTTGTGCAGTAGACGACTCGCAATGCTTTCGCATGTGGATGTTACCAGTAAATTTTCTCTTTTCATTTCTACTGCCAGATGATCGTTTAGGCTTCAATCTCCCTTCTATCCTATTCATATTAATCTTAGGAATGAAGTTTCAATATAAATATTTAATTATATTATTAAATGAAGGAAAATGTATCGAGAAATCTCTCACAGAATATAGAACACGTTGTAAAATTCGCAAGCAAAACAAATTGCATGAATGAGGGAAAATTAAAGTTAATATATTGCTTTTTCTTCTAGAAAAAGCAGCGAAAGTTAAATAATTATTAAATGTATCTCTTTCCAAGTCACTGCAAGAAAAAAAAATGCTCGACTTAGTTCTATATTACCGAGCTATTGCAGGCGCAACGTTGCCGGTTCTTAAATAAAGCCCAAGGGCACATGACAAAGAATTCTAGAAATGGAAAACATCTCCGATGATAAAACGGAGAAAGGAAACGTGAGAGGGGTACCAAAAGGAAAATGGCCAAAGGCATCTAAAATGTTAGATTGCTTTTATAAACAGAATTTATCACCACTCTTCACGAGCGCAGCTGTAAATATCCAGCTGTCAAAAAAGGTAAACAATCGCCTCGATCCTGACTTTTGAAAACTGGGCTTCGGTTCTTCCTCGATATCTTTCATTCTAATTCTTTATACGGTTTGTTTTAAAATGTTGCTATAGTTACCTCTTTAGTATAAAATAATAAAAAAAAAATGATTGGTTTTTTTCACCCTCAAAGGGTATCTGACCCCTTAAACGTATTTGATTCCTTCTTTCACATTTCGAAATTTGGTTTCATACCAAATAAAATTCGTCCATTTTTATGATTTATTTTTAAAATTTGTATTTTAAAATATTTTTATAGATGTTTTGAAAATTTTTTTATTATGACCTACAAAATTTTTATCGTCACCTTAAAGTATGTGTATTTCTAAGCATACCTGCAAAACATTAGATTTTTTTATTCCAAATTTCCAAAGATATACGTGAATTTACATATTGGTGCATTTTGAAATTTGGCGTATTTGTTATAAGCGCACTTTCTTACCCACTTTCTTAAAATTATTTCAAAGTATGAACAATGACCTTTTTACTTCCTTGTACGAAGTAAAAAGGAAGTATTGTAATCGCGAAATGTTTCAGGGGTCATATTTCAACGAATATTCATTTTGACCACTATCGAATGCAGTTTAATTTTGTTTGCTTAATTTCTTTTATACATCGTTCTAGATTATAGTATGTGAATAGAACATGTGGCAACGATTAGATAATTCTTCAAATGATATAAATTTGGTGCATTCTGAGTTATAATATGAACGAAATATAACGCTGTTTAGTGAACCTAACGTCAGTCTGTCGCTGTGGTAAAAATATATAGTGAATTTTAAAGAATGCATTTATTCTATTGTGGTTTATGCGCTATCGACGAGGTAGCGTTAATTCAATCAAATAAGTTGAAATGAAATGCAAGAAAAAAATTAGTATAATTTAATATTCCGTACAAGGAAGTCACGTGGTGCACACATCAGATTTTTTTTTTCTGCTGTTGTACAATGGAAAAAAAAGAAAAGGAAAATAGGTTGCTATAAATGAAGAAGTTTGCAAAGGGAATTATTCTTGGCGCAAACTGAAAAACAAAGAAATGCGCCAAAGTAAATTTTTGAATTTCTCCGTAAATTTGTCACCCAATTTTACAAAATTTAATATTTAATCATAATTTGAGTAGTAGAATCGAAATATGGAAAACGATTGGTATGTCATTTCAGAAAAGGTCCGATTTTGTGTCAAAATACCTATATAAGCTATATAAAAATTCTAATACATATCCTAAGTCGCGCTTTCGAAACATGAAAAACGCAATTTGAATTTTGTGAATCGGCCCAATAAAACGCGAGGTCCAGAAATTTCTCCTTTTTTTTTCGCAATGTAAATGATGTCAAACTCTGAAGATAAGAAGACTTTTAAAAGAATACGAAACAGCTAATATTAAAATATTCTGGAATGTGCAAGGATGCGAATTGTTGTAGGAACTGAAATTGTTAGAAGCAAAGTGCTGTATACGTTTTCTCGATAAAATGCTAGTATCACTTTACCACAGGCAAATAGAAGGCAAAGTGATATTTGTCTTCTAACAGTTTCAGTTCCTATAAGAACAAAAGGAAAATTATTGTTCATTTTATCGAACAATACTTTGTCTCGATAAAATAATTGTACAACTTTATTCTTTTAAGTAATATGATGGATTAAAAATCAGTGTTTTAAATACATTTAAAAACCTTTGAACACTACTTACTGGGTTTAACTGATCCATAGTTTCTTCCACTTCTTTCTTGACACTTGCGTTCGTGCGGGTTAGAGCAGTCCCATTAGACACATTCATATGATTTTGTAAATTAATCTGGGTGCTTTTAACTTTAAAGTCTATGACTTGGTGGGGTCTTTTTTCATTAGAGTCTATCATTGTACACAAATGTGAAATAACTCTTCTTTATGAACTGGAAGTTTCTTTGAGAGTAATGATATCCTGAAGAAATCTGGAATAATGACACCTTGAAAAATGTCATAAATGTCATAAAAGTCACCATTCATAAATTAAAATGAAAACAGAAAATATATAAAATTAAAAATCTAAGTTAAGAGCATATTAGTTCTGCAAACTTTAAATTTTTTTATTATTTAAGAATGTTTGAAATAAAAACTATTCATAATTTTAATTTATGTTAAATCATAAAACTAAAGATTTTATTAAAATACAAGAACTACCCCCTGTATAATCTTAATACTACAAAATAAATATGCCTCAACAAACTAAAGAATTAAAACTAAATCAAGTTCAAGTATTAGCAATCAGTTAGATTTAAATAGTATGCCAATACATAAAAATTTATAAAACTTTGACGCAAAATCATATTTAGTTCGATCTCAAGCTAAATTAAATATAAGAAGGAAGGTTTCTAATAAATACTAAGACAAAAGAGAGCATAAATATCAGGTTAATTATAAGTAAAATTTAAGTGCCGTAAAGAGCAAATTACATATTCAAGGACATAAAAAGAAATTAAAAATGTTTACAAATTTATACTCATTTTATATTTTTTGTAAACACAAAAAATAAAAGATATTGATAAAAAAATTTTGTCTTTTTTTTTTTTTTTTTTTTTTTTTGTTGTACACATTTCGAGCCTTTAGTGCACAACTATGATTCAGTACTCAAAGCATTAGATAAATCGCGTTTAGCTAAAGTTGGCTATTTATCACCGCAGTACAAAGACCATTGAGAAAAATGCAAAACAGTTTTACTATACTGTAAAAAAATCTACTTCTAACAAAATAGCGTGAAGTTGTTTCCGCAAGTCAGAACTAGGTGAACCTTCACTGAGCTTATTCTAAATGATTCTTACAGGTGTTCGAATAAATAATCTCTTACAGTTTGCTTCAAACATGCTTTCAACTTACTTATATTATAATCTCTGAAAAGTTATATTTAAAGTTCATTTTTTTAATTTGAAATTATAACGAGTATTATTTCCTCCAATGAGAGTGAGGATTCAAAATATTATTTTCCTTCGTCGTACCCTCAGTATCTTCCAGTTGGCATAATTTATGCATAAAACATAATTTATGGCTGCCATATAACCCACAGGAAAAATTCCAAATCCTAATTAGGCCTGCCAGCAGCCAAACAGTTTAAGTCGCTGAATACTGCTAATTCGACCTTGGTTCAATTTCAGGTGAACAGGCTTGGCTGTATAGGAGTTTTCGTAGATTCTTCCACGGTTAACGTATATACAAGCCAGTTCCCTTAAGAATGGCCTCCACGAAGTCGGCCTTCTGTTTATGGAAACAGTTCTCGAGTGGTTTGCCGTAATCAAATAAACGAAACCCAACACATCGAAATCCTAATAAAAGCCTACGCGTTTTGTTTTATAACATTACTATAAAATTTACCAACTTCCTAGGTCCAGCAGCGGCGAACGATGAAATCACTGAAAACTGGTATTTCGATCCAGGCTCAAATCCCAACCGAACGGGCAGGTTGCCTATGAGGTTTCGTGGTTTTCCCTTTGTGCAAAGTGGATACAAGCCACTGTCCCATAAAAATCCTTCACAAAGGCATGCCTCCTTATAAAGAGAGCGCCCTCGAATTGCTTTGCCTTCATCACTTACAGTAGTTCATACTAAATTCGTGCTATGCAACTTTCTCATAAAATCTTTATCATTCCCATCTGCAGTTTTATTATTGCTTTCTGTTTTGTAGGTTTATTCCTAGTTCCTTTGTCACTCTATATTAAAGAAAATTCTCCTATTATGTTCATTTTCATTAGGCTTTGCAATCATTGTGTACCTGTAATATTCTGATGCTTTAATACTGGCTTTTTTGTATGTTTGGCATATTAATTTGCATTTTATTTTCTTGATAATTTATCATTATTAATGTAATAGTGATTTATTCTTATCCATCTTTTTAATTCGTCTAAATAGATTGCTATTTTTATTATTAAATGCTGCTGTTTATAATCCTGTCCTGTGTAATATAAGTTGTACCCATTTCCCATTAGAGAAACGTTATTATTTTTTTATATTATCTGATATATTACTTGATAAATAAATTTTAATATTTTTTGCATAAACGGCACATCATATATTGCATATATCTCTCTTAGTATAATAACTTTAAAATTTAGTGTTTTCTTCCAATGTATAAAAATGATTGGTTGTCAGGCAAATGTGAAAAGTCAGTTTTGAAAGCTTAGAAGCTCATTTTTTTACTATGTCCGACTGAAGAATTTCAAAAGGGTGCAACTGTTGTGCTATGAGGTCAAGCTCTAATCTGTTACAAAAGTACAGTAAGGCTCCTCTTAACGCTTGTCTGTTTAGCGCTGTTTCGGTTTTATTGGAATAGTGGGATACCTGGAAACTACGCGCAGCATTAGACTTTCTGGATATCGAAAGTACTTTATCTGCATTACTTCTTCTCTGTAGTGTTTCACAAACTTATTTTTATTATTTCAAGCATTTGTTGCTGTTATTGTAAGTATAAATTTATGTAATGTAATGTTTGATATAGTGATAAATATTACAATTTTTAGTTTTGATAATGGGTGATAATAAGAAACGTAAGCCCGGTGACGCAGTGGCTAGCGCGTCGCGCAGCAGCACCGCAGATCTGTGGCTCGATCCCCAGCAAATATCATTGCACTGCCGGCCATGGCTCTCTATGGGCTGTTTGTGTGCTGAGTTTAGTTGAGTTTTAGGTAGTAAGAAACACGAAAATAAAGCAATAAGAAAAAGCATTTTGCTCGAAACTAAACTGCAAGTGCTTAGAAGAGTAGACAGTGATGTTGCATTGAACTTGTCAACTTCAGCGATAAGGACAATTCTCAAAAATAAAGAAAAAATAGCGTCATCAGCAATTATAACTACAAAACCCTCTACAACTAGAATAACCCGTTCTAGAAATAATATGATAGAGGAGCTTTAAAAACGATTTTCTATATAGATTGACGACGAAATTGAACGCAATATACCATTATGCCAAGCTATTATTATGGAAAAAGCGAGAAGAATTTGTAATCACATTTACATTGAAACAGGTGACACAACTGAAACTTTCGTTTCAGATCTAGGATGATTTAATAGATTTAAACATCGAAATAATCTTCATAACACACAGATTACAGAAGAAGCAGCAAGTGGAGATATAAAAGCGGTGAGGGACATTAAGACAATAATTGAACGAGGAAACTATCCTCCAGAATTAGTTTTTAATGTCGATGAAACGGGCTCGTTTTGGAAACGAATGCCCAAACATACATTTCTGTCCCATGTCTCTTTACTCACAGTGCCATCAATTAGCAGAACTGCACCAAGACAAAGCAAGCAGCCGTACGTAAAAATTCACTGTTAATTTCCTGGAAAAAATGTGACAAGAAACGTGTATCAAGGCCATATCCTTCACTCGTAATCCCTACTAAATATCCTCATATATCATACACGAATATTTTCTCTTTTAGACTTATAAAATGCGGATTGTCCAGACGTAGACCTACAACTCGCCTTGGACTGTTCAAGAGAACTCTTTGGAAACCTGTTCAAGAGAATTGGGTTAAAATATCTCTTTCGACACTAGAAAAAAGCTTTATTGTCTTGCAAATTACGGTGTAGAAAGATATCGAAAAATGAGGGTTACCAATGGAACATTTGAAACACAAAAATGTAAATTATTTCTATAAATACAATGAAATTCGTTTTAAAATGTACGAACTGTCTTAGTATAAATGTTGATATAAAATTTTATTTATTTCTAAATATTCCTTTGTCGTTTCAATATTTTAAAATTTTTGTAAAAAGCATATTTAATGAACTTGAAGAACAAAGTACTTGAACAATTTATTTATTTTACACCCATTTTCCCCTAACCCAATTATTTACATCATGAGATGACCTCGTTTAACGCAGCTTTGATGGAGCGTAATCCCCGCGTTAAGCGGAGTTTTACTGTATTGGAAAAATTTACTAAGAAAGACAGGGAGCGAGAACTATAAGTCTGAAATATTTATAACGATACTTCTCAAAGCGTTCCCCGTGGTTAAAAGTAGAGCAAAGTTAGAATGATAACTTCGTGGTAAATATTCTAATGAGGGTGACTTAAACGATTTTTTTCTAAGAAAAATACACATGATGTGGTTGTTATATGGACAATAAACCCATGCAGAAGTTACGGATTTAATATTACCCAGTTTTTTGCCCCATATCCAAGATTTTCTACAGTTAAAAAACCTTGGTACGCTATAACAGCTTTTCGAGCTAGCAGTGAAATTTCTCTGTCACTGTCCGTGAACATGCGTAGGCGGGAACACGGGAAAAAACAAAACTTTTCGGAAGCTGGTAGCCGAAAGGGGTCGTCAATTTGATGACAAGAGACGTTGTGGTGGAACGCAAAATTCTTCTCGGCTGTTAATGATAGATAAATCGAAAAAAAAAAGGAAATTGGGTTATAATAAGTAGAAATATTTAAAGCAGCTAGGGGTAGTACTGTGGATCAGCGTGGGTCAGTCAGTCTAGATAAAAGCAAAGGCCTCTCAATTTCAATTATATATGGTACTAATTAAACGTCTGTCACAAAAGGATAGTCAAATTATTTTAAATGGTATTCCTTCAGACGCTTTACTGGATACAGAAACGCAAAGTAGCTTTTCGATGGAAAGTTTTTATGGAAATTTTAGATTGCTAGTCATGCTTATTTTTAAAAGAGCGTTTCCTTACTGGAAAATGTTTACCTTAAAAGAGCGTTTCCTTACTGGAGAATGTTTACCTTTTTAAAACATTAAGTGTATCTTCTGAATATTCTGTGTTTGTTTAACAGCCACACATGTGAATTAAAGTTGACTTTTTGAAACCTCACGTTTTGAAGTCTACTTTGATGTGTACTTTTTAACTTATGCTTCATTTTTGAAATCCATGTGCCTGGATAGTTAGAAAATGTTTTTTGGGCGTAATACCTCTACAACTATTAAAATAATTTGAAAATGGAATGTTAAAAAATTTT